ATCCTCTAAGATGGCAACAGAACAGGAATTCTATTCTCCCTTGAGCATCCATCAGCTATTATGCTGGAAGACAGAACATGGAAAGAAACATTGGAATTGGAATACATTTGTTAAAAATCAGCTCCCCCCTCAACGTACTCAGATTACTGGACCACTTCTGAGATTAAGAACTGGACAGCAATACAACTTTTGCCTCCAAAACTTAATAACACATGCCTAAAACCAGATGTAATATAAAATAAAAAAAAAAAAAGCACCAGTTGAGAGAGAAATGTGAGTATATGGAAATAGGGTGAAATGAATCTTATTAACAATGAGTGCAGATGTAGCTTCTAAAAAGTCAAAACACTTGCCTCCTCACAAATAGGTGCAGTGGCATTTGCAAGCTGAGAGTCAGGATATACAGGGGCACCTTTTGTTCTCTACAGGTACTTGGCAGTGCTAGGGACACAGCAGGGACTGAGACACAGCAACATGGCAATTACTGAACTAATTCAATGAAAGTGGTAGTCTCTGTAGTTAATTCAATTACTGTATTTTGGTTTTGCTTCATTTGGTCAAATTATGCCCCTGCTTATGCCTACAAATCTGTTTTACATCCTCGTTCTTTCCCCTCACTCTTCGCACTACAGGCTCAAATGACCAAATTCAGCCCTATGAGCCTGACACAGGATCAGAAGGCACCATCAGGGCCCTGTATTGCAAAACTGTTCATCATGGGCTCAATCTCCTTCCAAGAATTCATTTTATAGCTACAGGCTTTCACTTTTTTTTTTCCTCCACTAGTTGCTTGCAGCTCTTAATCCTAAAGATTTGTACCCAAGCCAACGAAATTCTGTCCAAGCTGAAAAACCTCAAACAATAGCTCTCAGAAGTATAACATAACCCATAACAGGTTATACCTGAAAATGGCAGAAAAATTTTATGGCAACATTAACTCTTTCATTGTTAATGGCATAAGAAAATGAGAACTATTGTTATAATTACTGTTAAGATTCTTATGCCTCTTCTTGGTATCTTAGATTTCCAGTGTCCTTTCCTACAGCTACCTGAGTTCCAAATTTGCTCTTGGTTAAAGTCAGAGATAATTTATAATACACTTGTTTTAAAATGTGTGCGCAAAGTCCTTTGTCCACTGTAATTTGATTTAAATTTCGTTCATTTTGTATTTTAATTACAATCATAATACAAACTTTAAAAACCTTTTCTTCACACATTATCAAGAATCTAGAATATCATGCAAGATGAAATACATAACTTCACATTAAAACTTACATCCAGCAATAAGGAGACTGTTAAGTTCTACTGTAATTGTGGCTTTGGTTTCTTTAAAATACAATTTTAGCTGCATTATTTATATGAATGGAATACTTCATGATAAGCATTGAATCAAGATAATATTCATACACAAACCATAAAGATGTGCATAGCCAATTACTGTACACAATAATACTTCCATTGTTCATTGTTTTCTTCAAATGTATCAATGCCAATAAATGCTTAAATTATGCTGTGAATACACTCTCAATGAATAAATATTAAGGAGTCATGTATCAGTAAATACCAAAACCACCAGCACAAAAATCCCACATCTATAATAGTGGTGTTGTGCTAGCAGAAGTTATATTTATAAAATGCCAAGATTAGTTTCTCAAAGCAACTTATAAATTATTTCAAGCATACACATAATCCAACAACCCTTAAGAATGACACCTTTAACAATGAAATAAAAGCACTGGAAAAATGAGCTGCACTTCATGGGGAGGAGGATAGCAAGGCAGGACAATTTATTATTTTTTTTTCCTTGTTCATCCTGGAACAAGTTACTGAAGGTCACTGGACTTCTCTTCTTGTAACACAGAGGCTGGAATAATTCAAGGACATTGGAAGCTTCAATTAAGAGGTTTGAAACCGATTTTGTACACAGAAACTTGCATTCAATAAGTCAAGGAAATAACATTATATATGGCCTTAAGAACCAGCAAGGTTAGGACCAAAGAGACCAGAAACTCCTTCAGATGATACAGCTATCTTTCAAAATAGCAATGCAGTGCAGTAAGTAGCAGAATATCATAATTGCTCATTTCACTAAAAATACAAATTTAAAAATCGAAGCTTTGATTACAGAGGCAATGGGAACATTTTTAAATACAAAACCTATTAATCCCCCCGCAGCTAATATAACAAGAAACTCATATAAGAGACAGAACTTTAACAGAGGTCCATAACACACATCAGCTCTGGTTTTCCCACCTTCTGACTTACTTTTGCTTAATAGTCACATACTTGTTAGCAGTAAGTTTTCTTTAGCAGATTCATGGTCTCATATTCTTTTCTCTGAGCATGTCCAGTTGGCAACAGTACAATGCCAAGCTCTAGGTTAAGCACTAGCACTGTTCCACTGTTTGCTTCTCAGAAGCACCAATAATGAAGACACAGCAGTAGCAGAAATTTCACAAAAATCAAGAACACAGCTGTGTTACAGCTCTTCAACAAGTTTTAAAGAAATCTAAATCACTTCATAGCATGCTTGATCAATCTATACTGTCTTTTTTTGCATCCAACCACCACTTACTACCTAGCACCTCTGCACCAGCTGAAGAGTACAGAAAAAAAGACAGCCTATTTTGTATAGAAAACCAAAGGCTTGCATCAAGAGAAGCTAATGTTGGGAAAAGCAATGTTATTTCTACAAATCTGTGACTTCTGTAACTCTAATCCCCTAACTCAAATCCTATGCTACATCTTTCCTGTTTATTCTTCCACCTGGGATTCACAATGTACATTGTTAAGTTTTACCTATTTAAAGTTCTAGAAATTTCTCTTCCACAGCTTGTCAGAAACAGTGCCATTTATTTACACTCGTGTATAAAATGGAAGGACAATCCTAGGTATGCTTGATTATGAATGAATGCTCTTGTCAGCTACAAGCAGATGCATGTCCATACACACAAAAGACAGAAAGGAGTCTTCACAATTTAAGGGCTTAAAGTCAAACCTACATTCACTCTAATTGCAAGCTCTGTACAGCAAAGTGATATCTGAGACATAACAGTTACCAATCATTACCAATAAGTTTGGGCTGTTCAGCGTGGAGAAGAGAAGGCTGCATGGAGACTTCATAGCAGCCTTCCAGTGTCTGAAGGGGGCCTATAGGGATGCTCAGAGGGACTCTTCATTAGGGACCGTAGTGACAGGACAAGGGGTGACAGGTTAAAACTTAAACAGGGGAAGTTTAGATTGGATATAAGGAAGAAGTTCTTTACTGTTAGGGTGTTGAGGCACTGGAATAGGTTGCCCAGGGAGGTTGTGAATGCTCCATCCCTGGCAGTGTTCAAGGCCAGGCTGGACAAAGCCTTGGGTGAGATGGTTTAGTGTGAGGTGTCCCTGCCCATGGCAGGGGGTTGGAACTAAATATCTTAAGGTCCTTTCCAACCCTAACTATTCTATGATTGTATGATTTCTGGAGTGCACCTCAGCTGCTGCACTATCACAAGCATGAAGTCTCAAACTTTAGAAGTTACCTGAGCAGAATCACGAAGATTATGATCGATCTACAGTAAGGGAAAATAATTTAAAATTATACAATCTTTACCTCTGATACAATGATCTTTCTTGGATCTCAAAAAGCTTTTTGAATTAGAGCTCACAGTCAAAATGAGGCAAGTGGATTTGTCAAAGATTTACAGAAAGACTAATGATCTAGAAACCGAACAGATAGACTCAAACCACTGATTCAGCTCTATCAAAAAGGCACTTGAAAGCAGGGCTCGCCAATTTATTTTTGAGTCTAAAGAAAATGACAATTGCTTCAATATATGGAGCAACTACCACAAAGTACAAGTTATTAAGGGGTACTGGCTTCATGGTGACTGCCTGCATACCCCACAGCAAAAGCCAATTATTCCAGGTAGTCTATCCTTTAACTACCTTGCATTACCAAATTACCATCACAGATGGTAAATGAAAATAAGGTATCATAACTCGGATGCCTTGGACATCTAGTAGAAAGAACCTACTGTTCCAGCTTCAGTTCTTCTGTTATTCTACAGAATAACACCTCACACAATCCAGTGTCATAACTTTACTACTGTCTACTAAAATCATAAGCAGAACTAACACACACAAATGAACTCCTCTTAAAAAGTTTAACCTAGAACTAAAAGCTAGCCCACAGAAACATTTTTTTTTTTTCTCCATTCTGGCGTTCTACTAAGCAATAGCTTTTGCAGCAAGAGAAGCACAAACATGAGAGCTTCCATGTAAACCAGAGCAGGAAGGTTATAATACATGAGTAATGTAGCTAGTGAGAAGGAATGGAATTGCTTCTGATTCAATCTACTGTTTACTAGAATACAACATTTATAAAATGAAGTAAAGTAAAACAGTCTTCTCAACTGTAGTATGTAAAACCATTCCATCTCAGCTAGGAAATGTGTTGCAGCAAACAACAATATGTCATTTTTACTCTGTAAATGAAAAGTATTTAAAAAAAATTGTGCTTCATGTCTCAAATGCTCCTAATATATGAAGACACTAGGCACCCAGTGTCAAGTAACAAGTCATTCTAAAGGACAGAATGTTGAGAATTTAAGTTACTAAACATGATCATTTCCCAATTATATTGCCAAATACAGCCTGTCTGAAGTATACTTAAAAAACCACCCCAAACGTAAAAGAGAAAAGCTTTCACATTTGTGATTTTACTATATTGCTTAAAACAACTGATGAAAAGTCACTGCTCTCTCACGCAACTTAAACAAGTTAAAACATGCAGACTTTTTTTTGTGGGTTTTTGTTTTGTTTTTTTTTTTTAAACCCGGAAGCTATTTTGAAAATAAAAAAAAAATCTTATGTTTTTTGAAACTGCCTTTGAGTTTTCTGAATTTACCCTGGAATGCAAAATTCTAAATCACTTCTTAATTAACAAAGAAAAAAATAAATACAACTTTACCAGGACTGAAAGTATTTACTGCAAAGGTTAAAATACTTGTTCCTACCTCCACCTTTGTTCGATAGAGAATGAGACGCTTTAGGCTGCCCACTTTGGCTATGTGGTTGAAAGCCTGAGGTGGTATTTTATCACATGATGAGAGATTTAATTCCTGAAGATTGGGACACATTTCAGTAATGACCTCCAAGCATGTTTCATTGAGGAAATGGCCACAAGACAGCTCAAGACGTATTAGTTCAGAGCCACAAACTTTCAAGAACCTGTAAAAAACCCCATATTTTAAGTGAAAAACAAACACTTTCAGGTGAAGTTTCAACAGTATTCAGACTGTAAGCATGAAAGGCTTACTGACCACAGCTCTTATGTCACCTCAGTTAATTAACAGAAAATATGATTAGGTCAAAGTAAATTAATCACAAGCTCTCTGAAGAAGTTACTTTTGAATCAAATCTCTACAAATTCAGAAGAGACCAAAACAATTAGGTGTTGAGCTAGAGAGTAATGTTAAAAACTCCAAGGCAGTCAAGACTGTTTCACCAACATTGATACTGTACATAACCTAGATATTATACAATATTTTGTACAAAAGAATATTTTACTGCATTTTAAGAAACACAGAAGGGTATATAATGCTGTACGTGGCATAAGGAGGCTAACATCACTAAAGCAGTCTTAAAGAAACAATTCTACCTTGAAAATAAACTGCAAAAGAATCATCAGGGGTGAAAACAGTACAGAAAGGGATTTTTATGACACTAATGTTAGTCTTGAAAACACTGTTTCAGTTTAGAAAGTCAGAAAATGCTTCATTCCTGGTGTTTATCCTGAGACAATGGAGCAAAGTGCAACACAGATAATGTCTGAAATGCTTTTTAAACAGTTCCTCAAAGCCAATGGTCTGCAAGTTTCCAACAATAATTTCATACTTATTTTATCTCAGAAAAATCTGCAAAAGTAAAAGTTAGGTTAAACAAACACTTTTAAATCAAAATATTCACAAGAAGTGTTTTAAGACTGTTAGACAAATATCCTGTCCCCTTCATTAACAAATAAGTCAAAACCAACACTTTGAAGCTGTTCTAAGACACAGAGATTCCTAAGGGCTATTCCACATGACTTTCACTGGAATTATAAAAAACTAAGATATTGAAAGACAAAATATCCAAATTTTGGAAACTGATGGTCTGTGCATGAATTACACTTTCTGTCAGAGATTGTGTCACAAAGTCTACTGTATCTAATCCAAGCTTTCTTTAATTACACACACATAAGCTTGTCCCTTTTTATTGCAAAGATAGCCTTCAAACTGTAAATCAATCGCAAACTGTAAATCAATCAAACTGCAAATCAATCCTGAATATAGTGAATTTACTTAGACTGCTAAGCCTTCTTATGGGAGTGTCAAAGCTGAAATGACACGACAATTCACAACATTAACATCAGGTATTTAAACATTATTGCTAGTCTAAAATAGCAGTGTAGAGTTCAACACTGCCATGGAGAAACACAAGATCGAAATCCCATGGAAATCAAGACAGAGACATAGAGACACATGGATTCATTGCTGATTACCAATTAGCCAATTCTTCTATTTAATGGGTATTTTAACAATATATTAACACAGCTTCTTTCATCAATAAATTATCAGGTTTGTTTGTATGGTGATATTTTCCATAAAACCTTGTCAGTCATCACTTATTATACTTCTAACTTTTACTTTCCTAACAGATAAATATTTTATGAATTACTCCATTACAATAATAGATGTTAGGTTAACGGCCATGCAATTTAACAGGGATTTGCTGTTACAAATGTTGGTACAGATCAACGTTTTTCTCCTTCTCGGACTATTAAAAGTTAACATTACCAGGTCAGTACACCCAGTTAACTCCATAGACTCAGAGAAGAACTCTAGGCTCACCAGCTTGAAAAATTACCATTCTTATAACATCTTATTTTAATTCATTACACTTGAAACACACAGGCAGAGCATACACAGCAACAGCGATGAGTGTTGCCCTTCATGACTTTGCTGCCTTTTGGGGAAAGGTTATTTAGAAGACATTTAACACAGAGGCAAGGGTGTAAGGGACATGGAAAAGGGTACAAGAATGAGCTGACAGGCATGAATAAAGAGATGAACGGAAACAGAAGGAGGAATCTGAGGAAGTCACCAGTAAGCACAGAGCAGAGAACATCAGGCAGAACTGCAGAGTTTTCTGAATGATCCAGAGATCCCAATATTTGTTTGCGCTAAACAGGCTGCTCAGGACAGAGGTTTTTGCTGATGTCTTTCTACATGGATCTCCAAAACCACATGGCAAGGTAGAACATTGGTTCTCATGCTTTCAGAATAAATGTGGGATGGTTTTCACACTACTGAGACTCACCACACACTGGGTGCCTCTCTGACTTAGATCATTTGTAAACAACCAACCTCCCAAAAAGTACCTTCTGCCCAAATCAACATTTCTTCACATACTCCTCCTTTAATCACTGAGGATTGACTGGTTCCTGTTTTTAGTCTCTATTCCTTTCTGCACAGTCATCCATCCCTTTAGTTCTTTTATTTTTTAATCAATATTTTATACACACAATTTCTGAAGTTATTTCCCTTCATGTTTGTTATGAAATACAACTAAACAACCTAAACTAATGGGAACATGCACATCTATTTTGCTAAACCCTGGATTGGGCCTTTCCCTCAAAGTCTGTCCTCATTCCAGACTGCAGTATTTCAAGAGTCTTGTATGTTTGATGGGTTTGGGTTTGTTTGTTTTTTTTTTGAGGAACTGTGGTGGTTGTTTTTATTTGGTTTGGGGGGGGGTGTTTTTAATGAAAAAAAATAAAAAATAAAAAATTAATCTCACTTTCCATCACCTTCTACCTGCTTTTAAGAACTGCTGCTCATTCTTCCTCCCCCCCTACCCCCAACTTCAGCTTCAGGGAAGTAAGTTAGTCCTACTGAAATCTTTCTGAAACATCAAATATATTTATTAGGAGTTAAAACACTGTTTGGTCATGGTGGTGATAAACCGTCTTGATCATAGGGTTAATCTATTAACAACTTCCAATCTTGTAATTCATGTCTAAGCATACTGTATGAGCCAAACATGATCCAAAATTAAAATACCAAGGTAAGAGATAGAATCCTTCATGTCAGAACTGGCTGCATAAGACCTCCTAAACAGAATTCCCAAAATACCTTTAGACACATACTTGTGAGGGTGCTAAACACACCACATTTGCTCCAGTGATTTCTAATGGAACTGCATGGATCCAAAACCTAGACTTCACTGTTAGCTTAATGATCTTCACTTAGTCAATATCCCATAGCTCAAGGTTACTGAAAACTCTTCAACAAGCAGCGATCAGTCCAATTCTCCCTCATCTACTAATTTTTCTAAACAGAAATAGCTACTTTGTATAACTGTACTCCTCCAATACAATTATCCCACCAGTTTTCAATCATTCTGATTTTACCAAATTTATTTTCAATTAAAATGTTATGTACTCATTTTGTAGTCACTGACATACAAACCACTGAATTTGGTGTGGCAGAGACAGGAAGCCATTTCCATTTATGAGCAGTACAGGGCTGGATAGATTTTTTTTCTCTTTAGCACTTTCCTTTGTAGTGTTTGTTACCTTACAGAATCATAGAACGGTTTGATTGGAAAGCACCTTAAAGATCTAGTTCCAACTCCCCCTGCCACCATACAACACAGTTTCAAACATCTCCAGGGATGGGGCAGCCACAGCTTCTCTGGGCAACTTGTTTCAGTGTCTCACTGCCCTGATAGGGAAGAACTTCTTCCTAATGTCTAATCCAGACCTACCCTCAGTCAGCTAAAAGCCATTCTCCTCTGCCAGCTTTAAGTCATTCCCCCTTTTCTTGTCACTAAATGCCCTTGTAAGAAGTCCCCCTCAATGTAAGCTATTCTAATTGTTAAATGTTATTTTCCACTCTAGCATGTATTACACTTTTTTTTGTCAGCCAACCTTAAAACATTATGTGCAAGTGGGGAGAATATTAACTACATGCTTTTTTCAATACAGATGAAACATTTCAATAAACAATGCAAAACAAACATGATTACTTAATCTCAGTTACAGCAACCCTAGGTTTTACTAAAAAGCTGTGGAAATTAAAGCAAGAGACAGACATGGTTCTTAAATTGAGAATCAGACAGACATTATTCCTATTTTCTGTGACTATTTGATGCATGTTTCAGTAATTTCTCTGACCTTCCTGCCAGCCTGATTCACAGCAAGCCTCACCAAGTTAAACACTGTCAAAATACACCTCTATTAAACAGCTCCTAAAGCCCTCAAATGTTAACAACAAAATTGCTGAATAAGTATGCCTGGATGTGCTTGACATGCAAACACTGTGTGACTAACTTGAAAATAAAACACTATTAATTTGTTTTCACAGTATAAAATGTTAGAAATGATAAAAATCTTAATACCGCAGATATTTAAGCAAAAGAGTTTAAACAAGCTAATGACATTACCAGCGACAGAAAGAAACCTGCATGCAGAACTCCGTTTTTTAATCTGCCATGGTCCTTGAGCTGTTTAAACCTCAGAACATTTATTCATCATCTTGATACTTAGTATACCTTCAGTCAACTTGCCACACTTTTCCTATATAGGTCTTACCCTCCCACACTGATACTTTCCTGCCAGGAAGAAAATCACTGTACCTCTAACGCCAAGAGAAATGCAGTGCTGCTTATGTAACACTTGCTGTGAAATCTTTGCTATTCCCTGTCACATTGCATTCCAGACACTTGAGACTGCTCAGATACTCAAACTTCATTTGTCTTTCACTTTTCCATGCACTTTTAGTTTAATCTAAATGATAAAATTTAGTTAATTTATATTATATGCTGAAATGAAAAATTTACAGTAGTCATTTTTAGCCCTGAGGAGTAGATGTTATCAATAACTTAAAATACCTTCAGCTGTGCCTCAGGATGTTCATATGCCTGAAGCATTCTATCCTGTCATGATTATACAGTATTAGCTTCAGTCTTAAAATTACTTTTTTGAAAAAAATTCTACTTTAATATCTTTCTGCAAGAAAATATGTATTTTCAATTATTCTTTACAATCATGTCTATATATACACCTTTAAAAGGAAGACACAAATTTACACAAGCTACTTCTTTTGAAACCACAGATAAAGAGAGTTTGGAAAGATACTTGCCAAAATAAAATTCAAGTAATACTAGCATTTAAACATGAGCTGACTTGCAGGAATATTAACCTAAATTGTACAGTTGTAAGAATGAAACTAACTTTACCAGTTTTGAATTCAATAGTGCCAACTATAACACCAAATGCTGAAAAAAGTGCAAAAATAAACAAAAAAATCCAGGTCCTGTAAAAGTGAAATGCTGTTATCTATGAGAATAAGGTATTTTGGTTTTAGCATCTTGCAATTTCTAAACTGCCGTAATTTGTAGTGTTTGTGAAGTTATTTACAAATTTCACTTAGCAAACAATGCTTTTTCTCCTTGAACGGACCAATATAGGTGGGGCTTTTAGAAACAGCATAATAGAATCCCTCAAACTGTTAGAACTTCTAGGCAGAATTCCCTTGGCAGCTGCTCCTGGTTGTTTATGCAGCAATTTAACACAAATTTTATAAACCTGAAGCAATTTAGGCTTGTTTCAACTAACCTCAAGTTATGAGAGGGCTTTATCACCAATTAAATCCAGAATAAAAGATGCACCTTGGTATGCTATCGGCTTTATTTAGAAATTTCCCTTGCAGAAAGAAGCAGAAAATACCAAGACCAGAGAGGAAGCCAAGGAGAGCAGGATAAAGAGAAACCAACAAGCTGATTCACAAACAATCATGCAGTAGGCAGCAAGAGAATATCTTACACTAATAAACATAGGGGTACTTGTCTTCTACTGTTATATATAGAGACAGAAATACATAAGTATTTAATTTCTGCAAAGGACAAGTTTTTAATACCAGTTAACATCAGCAGGTAACTGACAAAAGCAGCAATGCACCCTCCCCAGCCAGCTGAGAACATCATCTGCAATACTCATATGCTGAAGAATAAACTGAAAAAAAAAAAAATCTAATTGTGAAACAGAATTCCTAAGAAAGTCAAAGTACCTCCATTCTTTAGAAACTCTGTTTTGTGTAATATCTCCCAAAACTGAGGCTGGGTGAGGAACATCTAGATGTTCAAAAAAAGCTTACGGAAGCTCATGACTACATGCTCTGGATGCTGCAAATTCCACATGGTGATGGTATCTTGATGAAAGTCAGGGCAAGAGAGCTAAACATTACTTGCCAGATTCCTCCTTTGAGGAACAACACCTCTTACCAGGAAGCTACTTCTTTGAAGAAAGTCACATTAATGCTTTTGAAAAGCAAGTGTTGTTCTAAGAGGTCTCCTGTATGAACAGATATTGGAACAGCAATGACCAGCAAATTTTCCTTTCCTGGAAGCTAGCAAATTCAAAAAACATATATCCAAAGGAAAATTTGTGTTTGGAAATTTTACTAGAAAAGACACTTCTACAGAACAAAGAGTTGCAAAACTATTTCTGTATAAGGAAAAAGAAAACTTTCAAAACCAAGCCTAGTTACAGTGGAGAATTTTTGATTCAGAAGTTAAAATTCTGAGAAGTCACACCTGAAAACTATTTTGCTTACAACTTTGTTTCAAAAATTTATGATTGAACTGCATTTCCCATTCCCAGACTGCAGAGCTCTTCCAAGAAATACTTTTTCCTAGAAATACAGATAACTTCACAATTGTATCAACGTCCAAGAACATTTTCTTACAAATAAATATCACCATTATAATGAATATAAATTGACCATGTTTATTCACTGGTTATTAATAGTCAAACAACGACTACCTATCATTTTAAAAATGCTGACTACACATAAGTACTGCTATGAGTTCAGCACTGAAGTGTGAAAAATAGAGTAATCCTCTAGCAATAAAGCCGTTTTCAACAAACTGGAAGTCAGAAATGCCAGAACTGCAAAGCTTATAATTCTCTGAATTTGGAAATTCATTTATTTGAAAACCTGCATATTCAAAACAAAAATAACCCAAAAATTTAAAAACATGCCATGAAGATGCACACACTTTAAATTTTCAAAACACAGATTTAATAGCTAAGCATCAGAAAGCAAGTACTTCATGATTTCAGAGATGAATTCTCAATTAAAGCTTGCATATTTATCATCTGCATAATGTATCTAATATGAAATCCAAATTTAGGAGAAATGCTTGCACCCCATTTAACAGCTAGCTGGTGCCTATCTATTTTATCCCACTTAACAACTAGCTGGTGGCTGTCTCCTTTTTCTACCAACAATTACAAAAGAGCTTAGGGCTCCTGGATTATGAGCTGGAAGGTCAGGAAAGCAACATTCTCATCCCAACAAAGTATTTCTTCAAATTATTTTACTTCCCCCGGGAAGGCACCCCGGCAAAGAAAAGTCTGAAAACTTGATTTAACCTTTAACAAATGAGAGCTAAGACAATTTTTTTTAATATATCTTAAACATTTCTGTTTCTTATCAGTCAAGTTCTGCTTTCATCTGCCACTGCTGATTACCTCTTAGTTGAAGCAGCAATTTTTGCTTAAATTAAATGCTCTGATAGATGCTGTTTAACTAATGCAAACGAGCAAAGAAGCAAGAAATGATATCTTAAGAAAGCAGAGAACATGGCTGTTACACAGAGAAGATTCCCTGTGAATTTGCTATTTTAATGACCTACAGCACAGTCAGCTCAGTGGAAGATGCACAAGCAAACCCCCAATTTCCCAACAGGACTAATGTTTTAAATCATTTTTATGAAAATATTTGCATTTACATTGCACTCCAGTGATTACTTAGGGCCCATACCTTGTAAACATGCAGTTTATTACTGCACCATTCTAATACAGTCCTACTGATGACTCATCTGTACAAAAAACAACCGTATTTTCTTTCTGAGATAGACTTTTGGACAGCTTGGTTCTAATGGAATTTTTCAGAAGCCCAGAAGAAAGCAAAACACTGCTCCCCCTTGGAAAAAGCCTTTCAGTCACAGGTGGTTTGGCCCATGCAGACTTTACATATGTAAATGCACTTCAGCTGCTGTATCCAGAATCTCTAACTGGTTTAGCTCGTCTTTTTCTGTATCATAACAATCACACCTTTTACAGCAAATCAAACATTTCTTGTCTTTTAATAATGCTTCAGATACTTAGCAGAACTACTAAGCAGCAGCTCTGCAAACAAAGCTTATCAAAATACTTATGTACATTTAGCACTGACCTGCTAAATCCAGAAACAGAGATGGCTCCCCTGTTCCCAGTCCAAGATAAATTCAGCCATTGGATGAGAGTGCAGCGAGACTGCAGGTATTCCAGAGATGTGTCATTAATCCTTGCCCAGTAAGGTTGTAAACTGAGATGAATGTACTGTAGAGGATCACAGCAATGTTGATATAGCAGCTTACAAGTTTGCGCTAGTCTACACAGGTCTGGTACTGTAAGGTGACTCAAAATCAACTGGATGAGCTATATTAAAAACAAAAAAAGTCACAGATGGTCATACAGCACTTGAAATGTTAAGAGAAAACCAAAAAGGATTAAGAAAAGATGTTCTGGCTTCAAAGAAAAGTAAATCCTTCTACTTAAAAGTAACATGAATAAATCATTGATTAACTATTAAATAGGACTGCACTGCTTTCTCAATTTGATGACATTAAACAAGAAAGGAAAAAGCAGATCAACATATGAAAGTGACAGGAAGCTTTCAAATTAGAAGTTTCTTTACCCATGCTAATTTAAACAGCGATATATATGTAAACACTATGTCTACATATTTCCCTTCACAATGTCTGCACTGCCATTGATCAGAACACTGAATTGGCATTTTCTTTCTTCTGTGGATTTGGTTTTTAAAATGGCAGCACATTTGCAGAGTATATGGAAAAACAATACCATGTCCCAGTTTCCCCACACCTTGAACTGATTTCAGATTTATTCCTCTGCTTCTTGCTTAAAAAAAAAAACAAAACAAAAAACAAACCCAGTATTTTGTCTTCTACCTTATATCCTCTCCCATCCATGCTGGATTATGTAACTAGGTGAAAAAATCCAACATTTTCAGATCTTTTACAAAGTAATCTCTTCCTTGCTGTAATACTGGGAGAGCATTTTTGTTCTATGCCAAAGTCAAATCCGAAAGGCAAAGCGCTTTTTTACCTTTTTTATCAGATTGAATCAGTTTCAGAATAACCACCAGCCCTTCCGACTAGCACCACTATACATGTTTTCGTAATGACTTATGTCCAACTCAGAAATCAAGAAATATCCCGTCTCTTATCATGTCCTGTTTTCCTTTCCAAGGGAAGATCAACAAACACAGACACATATATACTCACATTAGGAAATAACAGAAACACTCAGCAAAAAAATCTCCTTTAGATTAGGAACTGAGAGAAAATGTGCTTGAAAAATGAAATCTAAAAATTGATGTTTACTTTACCAGAGCTGTCTTCAACAGCTATAAGTACCTGCACCAAAATTATGTAACTAAAATTGGTAAAGTGTTTTCAAGCAGAGTGGGAAATGATTACTCACTGACATGAACTAGTGTAAATAAAAAAAAACCAAACCAAAAACCCAAAAACCCCCAAAACAAACCCAAAACACACCAACCCCCATCAACACAAACAAACCCTCAAATCAGCTTAAACTGGAATCCTGTGGCCCTTTCAAAATACCATAATGTTTCATTTTGATGTCTTTACAAGCATTCATAAGGCAAACCACCCAAAGCCAGAATAAAATGCTTGATATAAAATGAAAATGAATCCTTCTGTGAGATGCAAACAGCCTGTACTTCCAATGAACTAGTTTATTATGCAGTTAGCTTCCGCCTCCCCTCCTCCCCCCTTCATTTTTGGAATAGAAGAAATAAGAAAACAATCCAACTTCCTGCAAAATGAAAAATGTTACTTCCTACTCAGCTCCAGATTTAGTATTTAGATTTCAAACACTATCTACAACTCCTCAAAAAATTTAACTTCAACTCCAACGCCCAAATACAGTGTTTGCATATACTCCAGTTTCTCTCCAGTCTAATTTCAAGTCTTCTCCTTGCTCCAACTTTCCCCTAAAACCAGGCTTTTTTGTCTCTGCAGGTGCCTGAAGCTCTCACCTTAGCTTGATGCAAAGGATCTGCATAGACATTTCAACGTGACAGCAATATACACATACATATATATATATAAAATATATATCCATATATAATAAATGAAGTTGATATATTAATCAAAAAAGTTTGCTCCCAATTGATATTTAGGTTCTCGGCATTTTGGTATTTGAGAAAGTGCAAAATAACATGGAGCTAACATAGATATAATCCCAAATTAGTATCTTGATTTTTGGTTGGCTAAGACACATACTTAAGCCTGAAGGCTGCTAAACACAATTTTGGCTTTCATCCTAATAGTAGATACCCAAAAATATACCTATTTTTCTAAGACCATCAATTAACTTTTAATTATCTGCAATATTCTGAATGACAGCTTTACATTCTTGCAATCTTTCAGCTATTCCATACTCTATAAAACACCTAAATATTTATGAATGGTATTTTCCCTCAGACTTTTCCCATGCTTATTTAGTAAGTTTTCTAGAGCAGACAGCTCAGCAAAGGCTGCCAAATTAGCTAAATTTATGTCTACAACTAATGTGGTATAATAATGCCTGATAGAAACAAAGTAACACAAACTTTGTTCAGTGGCAAAAAAGTTATTTTGTAACTTTTGAGCAGTAAAGATAATGGTGAATGCAATTATAAATGCATCACCAATGTCCCTTTACACTGATGACTTCAGTGAGCATAACATACAGAATGTTGCAATCTTTCCACACCCTGAGATGAAATCCCTTCCACATGAATGTCTTGATCAGAAAAAAAATAATCCTTTTTTTACTAAAATTATGCTACTTCATAGTATCTATAATGGAAAAATACAATTAAATTACAGTACTATGACATTACAATGTAAAGTACTTTTTTCTGGCTTTTGATTAAACAAAGATAACAGGTACCAAACCTACAGGCTAATAGCCATTAATCACCCTTAGTCTGGAGTCTGGTGTCTGTCAAATTCATTTTTCATGTATGTGTATCCTAGCACAATTTGATGCATTAATGAGTATGTGACATGATGTGCTGTACTGTGCTACACCGTGTTCATGATGATACAAAGAATGCTACAGAATTGAGTATCTGCTTCAAAAACTACTTTTGTAACACAGTTTCTCACAAACCACTGTTTTCACTTTGCATTTATAAAAAACTATGGCAAGCATTATTGTTTTACACTTTCTTATAAATCAGTAAAAGCAAAGATTATTGGAAAAAAAATACAACAGAGTGTGCAAAAGAAAACAAACCAGAATTTATACATCACTTTTTGAGGCTGTGATGGACAAAAAGAACTTTCTTTCCTGTTTCCAGGGCAAACACAGAGAATGCCAGCTTTAGAGATGTGGTGAGACCAAGACCCGCTACCTTGAAAACCTTCAAAACTGAAAGGTTTTCAAATCATAATTCTCTACGATTCAACCAAGAGCAGTATGCAAATTGACTGCTGTTTGAGCGCAAAAAAGATTCTGATTCATATCCGATCTGTGCCTTATTATCACCATATTCCCTGACTGCGGCGTTTTACATTTATGTATAAATTTTGAATTACCAATTAAAAAATATAAGTTCTTAAGAAAACCCCAGACATCTCACCCACTGCAAAGTTTGCTCATAAGCTCAGAAAGGATCTCCATCACACTCTTCAATACACTGGGTAAAACTTTACTAATGGTGCAATTCCTAATGGTACTTACCTACCAAAAAGTTCCTCTGGCTTTTTCAAGCTTTTTTTCTGAATAACAGCAAGCACTTTCTGTGCCTAGAGCACGGTAATGCAGAACTTGGTCAGAAAATAATGTCTGGATGCTGGTCAAACCTAGAATATCGTCACTATCTACAAATAGCCTCTTTTTAGTTCTCCAGCGTGAGTCCTTCCAGTATGAAAATACATTGGCCTTTGCAAACCATTCATTTGGAAACATGCGAATCAATGACTTGCAATTTCTTACTTCTGCAGCTACAGCTGCCACAGCTTAGACTCCAATTAATCAGACTTGATACTAAGGCATACTCAGATAAAGAAGAAAGGTTATATGCACAAAAAGGCAGAGTGAAGACAGGAAGAAGATGATGGCATTCTAGGGCTTCTGACGTTCCTCAACATAGTTTAAGAAAACCCAGTCCCTAGTTACATGATCCTGTAGCTTGCACTAGCAAATGCATACACATCTAATAGCACACATGGACACATGAAGAGTGTATCTTGCAACTACTTCACAAAACAACCACTTAAGTCTCTCTTTTCTTTTTTCTATTCAATTGCATGCTTTTGTGGATTGGGGTTTACATCACAAGGCTATAGACTCTGATCCTCTCAGCAATGGAAGGCTGTAAAGGTTTCAAGCCCCTTCCTGATACAAAGACCAAAAAAAGATCTTACTGACAGACTGCACAGTCAATTAATCAAGACTCCAGGAGGACTAAAGCTGGAGAGATCTTCTCCCATGTGCCATTGCTCAGAGCCTACTCTGCTATAGCAGCTGGCAGTATATGGGCCATGAACTGAAGGGAAGCTTCTGCATATGGTTATTAGCTTTTAAGGACCCTCATGAGTTTCCCTTTCCAAAGGGACGCATAAAATCTTGGTGGCTATCCGAAAGCCTACAAGTATAGAAAGATGTAAGAAGTTTACCGTTGAGGTAAAAAAGATTTATGACACTTAAAAATGCTCCTGCTTATTGCTCTGACCCTCTTATCAAAGCATCATAAGAGATGCAGATCTTACATTCAAGGCCCATTTTCCTGCAACATAGGTGCTAAATACACATTTAACTGTGAAATTCACTTCCCCTGACATGGGCAGGTCAAAAATCTTGCGGCAGTTTTTGGAAAAAATGGCTCTGGGGTATGATAAATATGTTATTTGTATCTTTTTATATTAAAAAAAAATATATTTATACTTATATATATAAAAAAGTCTTTTGGAATGCATCAGACAGGATTTCTTCTGACTCTCCTCTCTGGAGAACAGTTAAATTCTTCATACATGGCACATCTTGGTGAGTATCAAACTGCACAACAGTTATGCTGTGGTAGGTATTCCTCAACTTTCTTAAAGGTTTTTAACTTGTTCAGGCCTTCAGGTCTCAAGGGCTTCTGTAAAGCCAACTAAGACTAAGCCTTACTCCTTCTACTTTAAGAGCATCACAAGTTAGTCAAAGATATCTGGGAAGAAACACAACAAAATGAAGCGTGTCCTGGAAAATCCCTCATCAATTTTAAGGCAATTATGGAGAACAGATGATAGCACATTAAAGCTACTACTGCTCACAAGCAGGGAAGGAAAGTTCTCTCCCCTAGCTCACCCAAGATTTTATCCTTTCTTCTAAGGAAGTCTGTGCCCCAGGAGCCGAGCATTTCTCTCTTTTGGAGCAAGAGCAATGTAGAACTCACACTGCAGCAAGCCATTCCTAATGCCATTTTGAGAAAAAACACGGTCTATGAAAGAATAGTCTATGGAAGTTTCAGAAAGACAATGAAAACAAAACAAAGGCTGGAGGAACTGCTATCTACTTAAGATTAGCATGGAAGAACATTCAGCCTGTGTATTTGGTGAATTACGGACAGCAGTACGAAAAAGCCTGAAACAGCTCAAATTAGAAACAGGCATATGTGGGAAGACTTAGGACAGTTACATGTTCACAATCAACATGAACATCTAAAAAGATACAGGTTTTCATGTAATGTATCAATCAAAACTGGAAGGAGTCAGCAGTTGTTGCCTTACTTCTTTTCACTACAAGGTCTGAACACTTCCCAGCAAAATCTGACACCTGTCAGTCCTGAAGTCAGCATGCAAAGCACTGTTTCCATATCTGATATGATAAAAAAAAAATTGTCATACTACAAAGTACAACATTTTTGTTGTTCTGATACCCAAACCTTCCAGCTGGACCAGAAAAATAGGAGACTGGGATTTCTGCTCTCACAAAACCAGTCCAGAAATAGTATTTTGTAGGTTTCTGACAAATTTTCTATTCGTATTTTCAGTTTCTTTAAATCAAAGCCAAAGAAAAAAGAAAACAAAAGACAACGTGCTTGGTATTGACAGACTATATAAATGCATTCATGAAACCAAACATTTATCCAAATTTATCCAAAAATGGATAAAAAAGAAAGCTAGTTCACAAACAGAAAAGCACAACAAAGTACATGGAGACAGAAGTTTATAGGAGTAACAGGACCACACAAATACTTCCTAAATTATAATCTTAATATGTGCAATCATGTGGGCAGAATAGAGATTAATCAATCTCTCTAGTAGTCTAGTACATTATAAACCAATTTATCCAGCCTTTTCAAACAAGATTTCCTAGATTTAAATCAAGTTTTTCTCTAAAATTAACTTCTTTGAATGACTAAAACAAATATATTTTCAAACTTTCAAACAGTTGTATGTTTAAGATGTTCCGGAATCAGCTGCACCTTTGCATACGCAAAGTACTTTCTTTACTTCAGTACTGATATACAAGCACCAACAGTAAAATATGTTGCACGCTGTATGGACTCTGAGGAAAAGGAAACCACCACTAGAGCTAACTCAGGATGTAGCCAGTATCCTCATTTATTATTCCACTGCAGCAACAACAACAAAAAAAAAAAAAAAACAAACTCAAGAACTGCAGACTTAGAAGACGCACATAGGAGAAAGATAGAGTTGCTCTCCTTTTCCTCTTTACAAGCACAGCAAACTTCCACAGGTTACTTGGGCACACAGTCACCTAACCATGGCCTTCATGTACAAAACTGGGGTACTTAGTGAAGAAGGATGTGACAAAACCAAAATTCTACTTGATTATGCATTTCTGAAAGTGCCCTACAGTGACAGCATCTCTCACTATCCTCCCTTCACTTTCAAAAGCGAGTCCAATTCGAGCCGCAAGCACTCTGAGCAGCTGATGAGTTACTGCAGTAAACAAATACTTCTTCTGGCAGACTGCAGTATCATGAAGAGCAGGATTAATCACACCTATATCCAAGTCAAGAGGTCTGACCAGCAGGTGAAGGTTTCTTTCCATTACATGGAAACCCAGCTTATTTCAGGATGGAAGTAAACTGACTTACATAATTCAGGTATAACTATACAATAACTGCAGGGGACTCATAAAAGAATGCAGGGAACTGGAAAAAAACAATCTTGACTGGTACCTGTAACATATCTTTAACGAACAAGACAAATATGTTCAGTGTAAAGATGTGCTTCTTACCTCATAAGGCAGTTTATCAAAATATCCGTTAGTCGGCCATTCCCTGAGGGTAACAATGCTGAACTGTTTATTCAGGGTGTCCATTCCACAGCCATAGTTTTCTTCATCCTCCTCATCATCTATATCATTCATATCAATCATTGAAGTCTTAAGTGAAAGCACAGGTCTCTCTTTCACACCATGTAGTACTACTGCATCCAATTCAGTGTAATAGTCCAGAAGAGAGCTGTTCACTTCCAGTCGGATTAAGTTTGTGGGAAAGTTTATCTGTTTGATACAAGGTGTGAACTGCCGTGCCTGAGGACCATTCACCTTTGTAGGTGCCTCGGACCAAAGGATCTCCCATCTGTAAAGGAAAAAAATCACACACATAGACAGCATAGGAATTAGAATCAAAATTACTAAAGCAATTCCTGAATACAGTAAGAGAACTTCTCTGTTACAAGTCTTTAACGAGTAAGAAACATTGTTGAAAAGACAATGAAAAACATTATTTCCCTAAATTTTGTAAGTACCCTAAAGAGGAATTTAACAGGGCAAACTGATTCATCATCTTAGCATATTTTCTCTGCAATGCTAACTAACAAACCAGGCTGCATACTCACAGTCATGAGTACGTAGTCATAGAGTACTGTTATTCATGCAGAAGCTGTTCTAACATCTCACAGGTAATCATAACAAACGGATTACAGATGACTTTGCAATGATAGTCTGTTACTGTAAGTATGCAGGCAGCAGTCTTGCCATGTAGCACAAATACCCAGTCAGCTGACATCTCTTATTTCCCACAAAAGGTTTTAATAATAATAATGATAATAAACCCCCACTGTTCACAGAACATCAAACCTGTTCAAATTGCAGCTATGCATGTTTTTAACACATATATTTTATAATTTAATATCTAAAAAATAATATAAACTTTATCTGTCTAGGCAAGCAAACTATTGCTTTTAAAAGTAATTCACTGCCAAATTACAAAAAAGACAGACTCTTCAAGTAATTTTTGAAAGAGTCCTTTGCAAATAAAGGTAGAACTTCCAAACTGCTAAACTGAAAAGCTTTTCTCCTCTTTGGTCCAGTGACAGAAGGAGGTTCAGGGCACGCACAGAACAAGTACACTTATGTCCTTAATTGCACACACAGACCTCAAATCTTCTCCAGTAAACAGCAGGGAAACCTGCTGCCAGCTAAGTAATCTGGAGAATCAAGTCGTACATTCATTAGGTCTTCAGTGCTCCCAAACTTGCCCATAGTCCTGAAAACAGACACATGCTTTTTATATCTGCGTGGGTCCTCATCCAGTGAATGGATTTTAGAGGTCCTTCAGTCACTGATGCCCATCTTTTCCTCCCTCAAGTCCAGTTAATTCCTAAAGGAAGCCTCCAGCAACCACTGCCACTTTTTTCTGCCTTTATTCTGCATCCCATATGCATAAGCCAGACAAGTTCCACATTTACTCCCTCTCTTTCTGACTCTAGTTTCAGCTTCAAGGATTTCCCTCAGGCTACTTGTCCTGTCACACAGGGTCTCAGGAATGCTGTATCTGCTCCTTAGCACCTCAGCATCTTGGGTTTCCCTAACATACTACTCCTCTGAATTTGCAAGTATTGCTCAACACTGACATATATTGCAGAGCACACAGAGGGAGAAAAAAAAAATTATTGGAAATAAAACCCAAGCAACCAAACCACAAACACATGCTTTATTTTCCAGCACCAAATACTTTGCCCATCATGACAGAAAGTGAAAAATAGGAAGTGCATGTAAGGACTTTCATTAAAACACAGCACACATACTAATAAGGCTTAGAAGCTTTATAGTCGCTACTATTTCAAGGATAGGAAAATTAATCTATATCAGCTGAAACTTCCATTTCACAATGGACATTTTCAGATGCGTACAGACAGATTTTCCTATCTTACATCATGCCACTTTCCACAAATACCTTACAGAAGAACAGGAGGCCTGCACAAGTCTTATGTCAAAGGAAAAAAAGAAAAAAGTAATGGAGTGAAACAAAACATGCAGGACTGGTGAATATATGGCACATCAAAAAGTACCAATGTAGGAGAGGGGACAACTCCACCCTAAGGTTAACAGGTCTTATAAGCCAGACTTAGTAATAAGACATTTCATCTATTTAGGAAATGAAAGTCAACTCATGAAAGAATGTAGCAGATACAGTCACACTCTATACCCGCTCACACAGGTCGATTCCCTATGCAAATACTTTATGTTGGCAATGCACATGACCTTTCTTGAACACATCCAGATCACCATTTGACATTTTGCTTAGATGCTTTCATACACCCACTCAAACTATCCTTAGGGAAACTCAAGGCTATATTTTCACTAATTTAGCACACACTGCACCATCAACTTTCAACAGAATATATCTGTTATTGACTTCTCCTTTGGTGCCCTGGAGAGAGTATTATCTAGCAGTAGCAGAGCTCTGGAAAAAAATAAGGCATCTGAAGGTCTAGGTCCATCAAGCTGCAAAGTAATAATCTCCTTCAGCAAGCAGCATCTTAAGTTTCCAGTCTTTGTAATAAATTGGAGAAAGATACATAGCATGAACTTATAGTCTTGTGAAACTCCACATTACATACCCAGTACTGATGAACAAGATCGGTGACAATTTTCCACTGTCCTTGTCATAATGTTTTCATCAACAGCCCACTAACCTAACTTTAAAGGAATTAGCTGTTGCTTAAAATGGAAAACTTCAAGTCTATCAGGCTGATTTGATGGTTCTTCTCTGCCTTGGTGGCACCACACACAAGAACAGGCCACAACAATTGCTCTGAGTCAGGGTTGGCAAATTCTTCTAGATGTACTCTTAATACACTCATTACTGCAACTAGAAGTGGTCTCCTCACCTAGGATCAGCAGTTCTGATGCTTGAATGGGCTACATGTGATCGGAATGGGAGTGAAGACTCCAAAGTTGTATAAAAAAAAAAGTATAAATTTCCAAGAGGCTTCAGTAAGAACTTCACTGCTTCTGTTCTGGAGCTTTGTTCTGTTTTGGTCATCCATTCCAAAACCTTTCAGAACACACATTTTGACAGTCGGTCCTGGTTTGAACATGTACCAAAATCAGCTTCCCTAGTAAGTTTGCCTGCATTTGTTTCAAGTTTAAGGTGCTCATAAACTATTTAACCCAACACAAAGAGAATCTGAGCCCCAACACATACATACCTGTAAAAAAGTCAATAAAATTTTCCTCTCTCCCTTGAGTTAACTAGGCAGCTGTCACAAAATCAAGCTGAATCAAAATGACTGAAGACATTGCTTGTCCTCAAGTCTTGAAGATACACAGCAACAGCTGATTGAAGATGTTGCAGTAAGAGTGCTTTGATAAGAAAGTTTCATCAGCAATGTGCTAGAAAGCTTCAGTCTTTACAGTGCCATTCAAACCTGAATGAGAGGCAGAATTATTTTCTCTAGCAACTGAAGAAAATGAGGACTTTAAGTGAATATTTTCCATTCAGCTTTAATAGACTCAGTTTTCCCATTAGATTTCTCTCCACCTCAAGAAAATAATCAGAAACTCACTCTGTTCGGATTTCTGATACTAAAGACTCCATACACACACCTATGTGGTTAAAAATAAAACCCTGCATCTTTTAAACCTGTCATTTAAAAAACCCTGTATTTTCTGCTGTGAAGTAAAATACAGTCTAGTGATTTTTAGGCTGAGAAACACACTTGCAAGGTTTGTGTCAAATGAGTGCACATACTTAATGCTCATTTAATTTTTTTCTTGACCTAATGCTGTTGGAAAGCTTTTTAATGCCTAAGATGATGCCTGAGTAGACCTGGTTACTTCTGAAGAAAATATATAATAAGAAAGATTCTTTGGAAAAGAGGCTCCTAGGAAACGTAATCAGATTTCTCTTCAGTAAGAAAAGATTAAACTCTGCCTGCAATCTGCTACAATTTCTTGCATTATAAAATTGAGATTGGTGTAGAAAGTGAATAAAGCACTATGTGCAATTCAAGCACAAAAAAATAAACACCCTGTCCCAAGAAACTTGAAGCTGTGTTAAAAACCAAAAGAAAAGAAAGTTTCAGATAGACCAACAAGTAGAACCAAAAGAAACTTGGAGAATAAAAGGAAACTCAGAGAATAACACGATCACACCTTTGCTGAAATTGCAACTTCTGCTACAATTATAATCATGAAGTGATTATTGATTCATAGAAAAACTCCAAAAACTCACCAAAAAAGTTTAGGTTGACAAGCAAGCATTCTTTACTGCAGCACTGGGAGACATGGGGAATAGCTCCTCCTAGTGTGTCCCCTCCAAGCATCAAACAAACCGTGTTTATATTGTTGATTAACATACATAATCATTACATGTTCTATATATTCATTAGGTCTGTAATCAGTGACATCACATTTCTAGAAAATTCTTTCCACATGTGTACAATAATGTGGTAGTGGTCTTTGGGACCCCTGGTGGTCATTTCTTCCTCATCTCCTTCCTCACTTTGTCCTTTGGCTGAACTTCAGGTTTGGAAAGTCCCATTGTCATGCCAGCAAACACTAGTTCCGTTCTAGCTGGTTATCGTAAAACATTTACCCAAGATACTTCTTCACTGTAATTTACCACAAATCTCTTACCCATTGCTGTTGCTGCAAAGCTACCAAGCCCAATGTTATTTAACCACAAAGCAGAACTGATTTTACTTATTTACAAAAGACTATACTTCATTTTGTATTTCTTTGTTTCATTATAATACATCCCATCTGCTCTTACCCAAGCAAGTGCTCTGTAAATAATCTGTAGGCTACTAACAAGAAAACATCTCCTGCCTACTGCCATGGCAGGCATGCTTCAGCACACTAGGTTCCCCATAACCTGGGAAGTCAGCCCCTTCGCACATCTGTGCATTTATAAATGCAAAATGCAGGCAAAACATATGAACATAAGACATAAGAGCAACGTTAGAACATTCATATCAAGCTGATAAGCAGAGTTCACAGCAGTCTAATTACTATGAGGGAATATGCAGCAGATTTTCCCTTCTACTTAAAGAATTCAATTCTGAAATATCAGACAGCAGACAGGACTCCAAGAATGCTCAGGCCATTTAAAATAGCAAGAGGTATTTCAAATAAATGCCCTCTCCCCATAAGCTTTTTATGGCTTTCTCAAAAATGACTATGTCACATGAACCCAGATTTCATTCTTCTATGACAGGCATCCAGACAAGAAAAAGGCTGTTTTCCTGAAGATGTCAAAACAAGTTATTAAGTAAGGATTCAAATGGCTAGAACTTGTATGCTACACATAGGTGAGATACAGCCCTGAAGGTGCCTTATCACACTCTAATG